AATGAAGATAGGTTCCAATTTCTCCCCTGTATTAGCAAAATGTTGCAGAAAAGCCAGTTTACCAATGAAGATATTGCAATGGATATCTTTTGTCCCTCCCTGCAGTTTAACTACAGGAATATAATATTTCATCTGTCCTTAAAAATTCAAGAATCTGTTGTTAATAGTTTTGATTCCAATGCAGCAACTACATTCAGGACTAGATAATCAAAATAAAGGGCCCTAGAGAAAATGGGAAACAAACACTGGTAGAAAAGAATATTAAATGACAAGAGAACAAAAGCAAAGTGTGAAATAAAAACAAACTCATCTCTTGAGAACTCTCAAAACAAACTATTTCGAGCCCAAATATGACTGCTCCTAAAACACTCACATTGGTATCTGAAATGTTTGATGTATTTCAAATGAAGCTCAATTTAAAAACAAATAAACCCTCAAAAGACAGTCCTCTGGCCTTGTTCCAGATACATACATGTTGAGCAAAATCCAATCCTCTCCAGTTCCACAGCGTGGATTAGAGAGGTGCCATGGATACTCTGGAATAAGGAAGGCAAGTTTGTGTTGGCAGACCACAATAAATCAGCTATTTTTTAGTTATGATCAAGATGGGAATGGAAACACGGCAAAATTAATAAGCTCTCTAAAACAAAGACACTGAAGACCCTTTTGCATGTTTTCTTTGACCATATGAGAAGAGGAAAAATATCCTGGCAGAGGCCAAGGGTTAATAAGAAGCTTTAGCTGATAAAAAGAGGCAATATCTGTACATTTACTACAGCTCACCTGCAAGAGGAAGGTCTGACAGGTCTGCATGTCTGGCAATGCCCTTGCTGGCTGGCTTGGCATTGTTATATACAGAATGTCTCTGTGAAACAAAGGTGCAAAAGATCATTAAAGAAATACTTGCCATCATGCTTAAATAGGTGAGCAGAGAGAAGTTTCTGCTCTCTCAAGATGGAGATGGAGGGATGCAGAAACCTTTCATCAGGGTATCAGCTGTACTTAGAGCTGGAGAAATAATTGTGAAAAACAAAAGGACAAAGGGACAGTATTTTCAGCTGGTAATATATTGGTTCCTGAACTACTTCCCACTTCTATTTGTACCATTTTTTCTCTTGTCAAACACAATCTGGTGTCACAAACCAAAAGTAAGGATGCCTGTTCCTAATCCGAACCCTGTTCCCAGCATCCTGAATCACATGTTAGAAGAAAACTCACCATCCCCTTTCTCTCAACTCATGTGGCAGCTGCTTAGCTCAGTGTGATTCCCCCTCAACAACTGAAACCCGTTTTCTGGTCAAGGGTGATAAAAGTTCAGAATTGTGTCCCAAAGAGTTCACGTCCGTCCACCGAGACCTCCCAGCTGAGGTCAAGACAAACTCCCTTTGATCCTTTTTGTTAGTACTACAGCATTTGATGTTCCACAGCAAACAAACAGATGGGTTTCCCCTTCCCCCTGTCAGTGCTGAAACCAGGTCACGTTGGAGCAACGCCATGTCCACCTCCTCTAAAACTCCGAGGATGGAAAGGAGTGTACCTGCATCGGGGACACAGCGGCTGCTGGGGCCGTCCTCACTGGAATTCCACTGAGAGGGCTCCTGGGGACCTTGTGAACTGCGATGTTTTGGCCAGTGCTACCTGCAAGGGAAAAGACATGGAGACATTTGGATTTCAAAGCCAACTGTCTTGTCAGAACAGGGAACCACGGCGTGGTGACGCCCCAGAGACAGCATTTATGTACCAAGCACTGCCAGAAATCATCCATTCAGAAGCAGCACCTGCTCACTGCTAGAATTCTTTTTTTTTTACTACAAAACAAGAGTGTTCAAATACCTGAGCATCCCAAGTCAAATGACTTTATGAGTGACTTCACAGTGGCTGCAGACTCTGGGGGGGTGGGAGATGCTCTGCTAAGGCAGACTCCTTGCCAGCGGTTGGCTGCATCCGACTCCAGGGATTCCACCTCTTCAGCTGTCAGCCTGCAAGGCACAAACCACACCAAAGTCAGGGCCAACAGGAAGTGCAAGCAGAGATTAAAGATCTTCACAGTGAGGCAAATCCAATGATGTGCATCTTTCACTGCAGTGCCCAGCACGTGGACCACTCACTGGAACATCCATGTCCTTCTCTTGCAGTGCCTGGCAAATGTGACGTCACCGAGGCTAACAAACCCTCCTGCACTGCTAATCATCTCATTCCCCTTCCAAATCCTCACACAGGATGGAGGATTATCATAGAAAAAAAAAAGCAGTTTGTTGATTAATCATCAATGATTACCTGAAAATGGGCTTTCAATAGAGCGCAGGTGCCACCACACTGTGGTCCTCAGTTTATAATGAGGAAAGTCCCCAAAGATGATATTTTAACTGTGTGACCATTGCTGGAGTCACTGTTACCAGTTAAAATGCCATAATTGAAAATAAAATAAGTAATTGCACAGGGTTCAGGTAAAAGGTATAAAATATACTTCAGAATAAACACTTTGACTTATCAACAACCAACATCTGCTGAGTAAGGGAACCTTCAATCACAACCCATAAGCAGTTATATGGGGAAGAGAACTGTTAAATGCTTCATCCTAGTAGACACAAGAATGCCAAAATCCAGTGGCTGGAATGAAGAGAGAGAAGCTCAAAACAGAAATAAGTTTTATATTTTAACAGGAAGGATAATTAAGTTACTCCATTGAAAAGAAATGTTGAGGTCAAGATTAGGTGCTGGACTTTCAGGAGTTCATCCAGGAAAAGTCCACAGCTGTGTTAAATAGCAAGCAAAATCACAGAGGGGAAGTGTTACTTCTAGCCCTGTGTTTTACAGATCCAACTGACACTGCTCAGTGTTGATTTGACACTGCACTTACCTGGCAGCTCTCAGGTAAACTTGGAGTGCAATTACCTAGCTTTGGTTTAGGAAAGCTGCAAGCAAATAACGAAGTCTAGTCATGTAAAAAGAGATTATCTGTACTTTACTGTCCCCATCTCCCTCCTGCTCAGAACCTGCACAGGGGCTGCTGATCTGCAGGTCCTGAGGTATCACCACGTTGCTTTGTATTTATGTTACACACCAAGAGCTGCACAAACACAAACCCAGAAATGATGTCAAGGAAGGCTGGAGGGCTCCATCCATAAAGTGCCTACAGGGCTGAATAAATCCTGTGAGCTAAAAATAGAAGCCAGAGCCTTATTCTTTCCCTTTAGCCATCAGAGCCTATAAAATGCAAAGGGTGTCAATGAATAAGAGAATAAGAGTGACTCAAGTTTCTATTTCTGGCAGAGCTTAAGGAGGTGCTGTCTTTAAGCAGACACTGGCTATTTCTTTGCTAATTCATTCAAGCTCCTTGTGTGCCAGGGGAGCTTGCAGAGGCAGATGGCCAGAGAAAAAGCCATTTCAATTCCATTCTCCATTTAATCCAATAAGGAGGAAAGGCAGATTGGATAAGATTCATGGAGCTCTGAGGGAGCCAGTGTTTTGCTTCTAAGTTTTAGCCTTTAAATTTTGTCCTGTTGCTTCATAAAGCATAGCCAACAGATCAGCAGGTGACAGCACCTGCACCTCAGCTACACAAGCCACAAAAGCTAAAGGAGTAAAGTATGGAAGGAGGATAAATTTCTACCTCAAGATTCCAAACCACCCAATGCAATCCACTGCACTTTCAATAGGTCACTGTACAAGAGTTCTAATTATCCAGGTAAAAAGGGTATGCACGAGGTTTGTGGAGTATTATGAGTAAGAAATAAATGGTAAATGCCTGTAGGTCAAGTGGTAAATCTCAAGAACAAAGCAAGGCAGAGGTATGCTCTAGGCAGCCATCACTTCACTGGTTAGGATTGAGCTCTGAGAACACCTCAGACACCACAGACCAGTCTGCAAAAGGATGCAAACATGTTATATAAACTCAGAGTAACCACACCAGTCCCTGTGCTGTGCCACAGATGAGTCCACTGAGAACTCATGTGCCATTATTCTGCCACTGAAGAGATCTGAGTGCTGGAGCTACAACCAGTTTCAACTTTGTCAGGATGCTTCCTGTAATCTGTATATTTGTAATAGGCAGCCTGAAACAACCTCCTTGGTTAAACATAATCACAACAGAAAGCCGAGGCCTCTGCAAACCTTGCAATCTGTAAAAAGGAAACACAGTGCTGACACCCATTTGCTTCAACTAAAACCACACAAGCCAGCCAACAAGCAACGGGGAGTTATGAAACTTGGTGAGCACCTTTCCAGTTTAAAAAGAAATGTGCATGGTAAGGGGATGCAGGTGTGTGTACAGATATGGGTGTCTTAATAGAGAAGCAGAAGAGTAAGAGCTTAACTTGCAGTAGGAAGCTAATTCAGGGGGACAGCATAGGAGAACACAAATTAAAAGGATTAATGACAAGCCACGACTTCAAGCCCAGAATGCCTTCTCCTTATACACAGAATTTATTCAGCTTAGCAGAGCTTAGGCCATCCAAGAGGACTACACAAGCTCGGCTACAAAAGTGATGGATTTGAGCTAAATGTCATCTCCTGCTATATGCTTTCCTCGAAACAAGAATGAATGGTTTACACAGACAAATGCTGCAAGTGCAGCTGGCTGAAGTGGAGCAGCTCCAGCAGGAAGCAGAGCACTGCAGCCACAAAGGAATTGAAACGTGCAGTCCCTTTCACAAAACCACTGCTGAGTTCCCTTCATTCACTGGTGACAGAAGTAGATGCAGGGAGCTTTTCTCCATTACCAAGACCCAGTCTCCCTGTTTTCTTCGTTTGAAATACATGGACAACTGACTAACAACAAGGTGAAGGTCTTTCTGTGATTAATGTACAGATTTTTGGCAAACTCAGCCTTCTTGTGTCTATGAAATTTCTGCTCCAGTGACTTGACTACAGGTGGCCAAGGACCACAGGACCACATTTGCAGAAACAATTACTCCACAATCTAGTTTTTGCCACAGTTCCTGTCGCTGTTGTGACTCCTCCTGAACTCCAAGGGACACAAGGCAGAGACACACAGCTACTGATGCACAGAATAGAAGAGAGGCCGAGGGCAGGCAGTAGACAATTCCAGACACTGAAACATTTATTTGGCACTTCGATATATATTTCTTAAACATAAACCCCAACATTCAACAGCTGCCAGCACAGAAAAGAAAGGCAACACAAGTGTGCACGTAGGCATTCACTCCAACAGCACGGCACAAAGGTGCAGGCCATGCCAAAGCCAGCACATCCCGCAGGATGCTCTGCTAGCTCAGCCTGCTCCAAGACCAGGCTCTTGCTAGGTCTTCACATCCAGAAGGAAAAGGACAGAAATCCCACAGCCAAAACGTGAAATTCCAGTCCTGGAATGAATCCTGATAGTCTCCAGCTAGAGATGGCGACTTCTGAGCTTTTCCTCCGCGTCCAACGAAAGCTCTCCCCTGGTGTCTCCGGTTGCAAAGCTGAACTTCAAGTTCTCCTTGATCACCACATACTTCACCTGAGTTAAAGGCATGAGAACAACTCCCTTCTGAGAGGGTATTCACTAGGGGCTTGATATGTTCCGTTCTCTTCCTTCTGATCTCTCCATGTGCAGCTCTTACGGCCGGGACAAACCTCCCATGGAACGTTCTCTGCCAAGGTTAGAGCAGGACACGCTCCTCGAGCACCATCCCTCCCTCACACAGCACCGGGCCAGATGTGCCACCCAGTGGCCAGTGCCTTGTCAACACAAGAGTAAAAATCTGAGACCATCAAAGCAGCTGATACCGAGTGAGTAACTTCACGTTTCTATTCAGTTTTCCTGCTGGATTTCAGCGACCCATCACCGAATTTGTGTGTGCGTACACACGATCTGTACTCATACGTGCATTTAGGCACACAGAGACAGATCACAGAATATAATACTATCTGGAGAACTCGTGTGTATGCCCACTGAATTTTACTAATTAGACATACGCACTCAGTTTTATTCTTGCTTAAGCTTAAAATGGCATGTTCAAATGTCTGTTTCAAGGAAAACAGCTCCAAAAAAAAAAAAAAAAAAAAGCTCTCAGTTATTTCAGATCCCCAAATCTCTGTGATTACTTCTTATGGCTTAGTTGGCTTTAGACTCATTCAGAACTTCTTCTGCCTCATGGAGTCTTCTGGAGAGAGAGAAGCCTTCTGAAACAAAGAGAGAGGCTCTTGCCCATGGGGAAGAGGTGGACCTGAGCATTCACACTTTGCAATACACTTGACTTTTGCAGGATAATAAAAAAAACCCGGAGGTGCTTTCTCGAATTGAAACTTCCCTTTTTCAGCTGCGAGTTGAAGGCAAGTCCTGCAGTGTCTCCCAGGCCTGGCTGTGCATCCCTTCAGGGCTGTGTTAGCTGGTGGAGATCAGGCACCTATGGAGAGACAGACAACATTTGGGAAGGTTATAAACCAACACAGTACCCACCCTGAGGTCCAGCTCTCCATTTTACATCATCCCATCATCACTAAATAAAGGGAAGAGGGGGGAAACACCGGTGGTGTTGCTAGAACAGCTACAGGAGTGCCTTAACACTCCATTAACTTGGCTTTGGGAGGTGATGAGCAACAACAATACAAAATACAAAATAAAAAACCACAACCTATGTTGGTCAGAGAGGGAGAAATAAATTATTTAAAGCCAGGGACTGAATTCTGGAGGACAGGAATGGCAGTGTTCCTGGCTTTCTCTCCTCTACTCAGTTAGGACTTTTGTTCACAATGGGTCCATGAACCCATCCCAGGCAACTGGAGTTGCCACAGTTTGTGTTTCAGAAACGTTGAAGGGGATGGAATAATCTCATCCAGTATTAAAAAACCCCCACCAAGAACTCCCTAAAAAACCACCAAATCCCCCACCAAACAACTCTGAGCCACTAACTAGAGCAAACCATCACTCCTTCAAGGACCCTGCTCTGCAGTTCTCGTTACTCTGAGTGAGAGCAGAAGGAACTGTCAAACCTCTGTGAGACAGAACAGCTGCAAACACAGGCACAAATGAGCAGCACATCAGCACAGACAGACTGACAGCAGGGTTTAATACACAGAGCACAAGCTCATTTCCAGTAGAAAAGCATGTGACACTGCCATGCTGTGGCATTTGAGACTTCAGGAAGAGAAACAGAGGCAAATTAGTGGGATACATCACAGTCTTCAGTTTAGGCTTCCGTTTGAAGATCTGGTTATTTTTTTATTAATCTAAGAAGTCACTCATTTAATTACAGATTTAATTTCTCTGTTTTCTAAGTACTACTCCCAGCCCAACTGTCCTCCCTCCATGTTCTTGGTTCAAGACACGATGTTCTAGTGCCAAAATCAGTTTGAAAACTTGAAGGGAAAGAGTCAAAGCAAGACCTTGAAACTTTTTACTCAGGATCTTATCCTGTCTGGTCTTGAAAACCTCCAAGGATGGAGACTATTTAACTTCAATTTCCACTACCTGTGAGAAGACAGTTACACAACAGTGGATTGGTTTACATTTTACTGCAGAGAAATATTAATTAGGATGTAAAGTATCAGAGAAGTCTGCCTGAAGCATGGGTTAAACAATTTTTAGGTTTCAATCAACACTAACTTGGGACGAGTTAACTCTTTTTTTTTCTTATTTCATCTGGTTGATGCTGGTCCAACCTCCCCCCCAACATTCTTAGTCATAGAATTAGACATTTAATCTGTGTTAGAGATGCCTTTGGGAGGCTCTTACCTTCATCCAGATGAACTTTGATGACCTCATCAGGATTTTTTCTGCAAGTTCTTTGGCTGTTCCTAAACCAAAAATGACTTTTTGTCTGATTAGAAGAATGTAACGGTGAAATCAAACTTGGAGGCAGGAACTCAGGCAGCCACAGGCAAACATTAAAATGGCAGGATGTCATAGGAGATAAATTGGCTTCAAGATGAATTTATGAGGTGGAGTCTAATGACCCTCAAGAGATGGCTGAGTTTTTGCCAAAAACCTTTGAGTTGCAAGCTCTTTGGAAGGTACATTTTCCAATGAGAGCTTAAAAATCAGACAGGAAACTTTCACTAGGGACTGTCAGATATTCAGCTGAGCGTGCAGCTGCTCAGCATTAGCAAACAGGAGGGATACTTTACAGACTGTGTGAAGGTATCATGCTACAAACTGCTTCCACCAGTGCTGAGCATGCATCACAATCACCACAGGTACCAGAATCCACTGCTGATTCTGAGCGGTGGCATTTGAGGAGGCTGATTGAGGGCAATGAGGATATCCCCAGACCTTCCTGGGTGACAGAAGCTGAGGTGCTGGGGAAGACAGTGACCTCAGGAATGCAGAAATATGTGGGAGTGTAGACCTGGCTCTCAGCAGGAGCTTTGGTGACTTCAGGAATTTGTTTCATCAGTCAGTAGAGTTTTAAAATTTCAGTGCTTAGCTGCTGATCACTACTCTGTTTAGACAATGACTTACATAGGCTTCATTTTGTTCTCCATACCACTCAGGACAGAAATTCTGTACACTCTGTGAGTCAAATTAGTTTTACTGACAGATGCAAAATTTGGTTTCATGACCTGGCTCTGAAAGGGAATGAATATTGCCCACTGCAGACAGCATATCCAGCTCCATGACCAATGCAACGCTCAAAGCAGGCTATACAGAGAGTCCACATGACACAGAGACAGACAGACCTGTGTGTGTGTGACAGAGAGGGAGACACAAATGCCAAAACTGACATAATTAACTCCATGTCTGCATATCTCCTTCTGGAACTACATATCTATGGATTCCGGGTTTCCAATTTAAAAAGCAAATACATCTTCAGATTAAAAACTAAAAGAATACAGAGGGGAAACTATAAGAATATAAGAATATGGCTCCCCATCCTTGTATAGGGACCCTGCTTTAAACAAGAGAAATTTCATTAGGAACAAATGAGGAATGGAAACAGAGCCCAGAACTTAAGTACTGTCTGGTAATCATTTTGTCTGAATGCATAGTCTGTAACAGTTTTTTTTTTTTTTGCATCAACTTGGGACTCTGATAATGAAACTGGAGCTTAAATACATTCCTTTATTTTTCTGAAAAGAAGTATTTCTCGTTCTTCAATCCAGGAATTCTGATCCATACACCTCCGCACAAAAGCTCTCCCGTGTTTTTAGTCCCACCTACTGCACAGCTGCTGTGGAACCTCCTGAATGGAAAACACTGAGCAAATAAGTGCAACATAAAGTTACTCCACCTGAAAGAAATGACAGCATTCACTTTGTTCTTGTGGGCATAAATTTACCAGGAGAGGGATTAAATGAAAAAAATCTAGAGGAGTAAAATCCACTCGGCGCACGTTTCTGACACATAGTACAACTGCTTGTGTTACTTTGTCTTTCTTCACTGACTTCTCTCAGGTCTAGCAGCTCTCTTCTGGATGTTCCATGGAATATCTGTACCCAACCCATCTTTCCCCAGCTGCTTTAATACAGCTGCACAGAGAGCTATGAAGGCAACAAAACACGGCGCAGTACCAGACTGAGAACAAAACCATCAGAGGATACTGGCAACTGTTATTAATTAGTATTTGCTGATTAAAACCTTCACAGTCTTGTTGACAGAACTAGGTTGTCAAACAGAAAGAGAACAGAAACATCTTAGAATTAAGAGACAACAAAATCTGCCAGAAGAGTTACAGACAACATGCACATCCAAGCCAGTGACCAGTTACTGACAAAGCACTGTTTGCATGCGTGTTAGCACTCACAGAGATCACACCTTAGCCTCTGTAAATAACCAACCTGTTGCTGCCCTTCACTTCATCCAGCTCCTTCTGCAGCCTGGCACTCTTCTCCTCTTCCTCCTGCAGCTTCCTCTTTACCACACGGAGCTCCTGCTGAGCTTCACACTTAATGTCGTTGGCCACAACCACTGCAGTCTGCAGGTCAGCCTGGAAACGCCTCCACTCCTCTGCATCTTCCTACAAAGGGCAATCAGAACCCCAAAATGTTTGCTGTAAAAATGCACCCACCACCTGAACTGAGCACTTTAGTTACCGATCTCTCTTTCAGTCATCACAGGCAACCACAACGTCACCACAATTCCAAGATGGTGCTGAGGTCGAACTGAACACTTGGCTCTTCAGAGTACTGAAAACATTGCAAAGAAGCTGATTCTAAGCCCTCCACTCCAATGGAAGTACAAAGAGAGGAGAATGGAGAAAGGATGCAGAAAGAAATCTCAGCACTTGTTCTAGGAAAACACAAAGCTTCTCTCGTATCTAGTACTGTAATCAAAGCTCAGCTTGGCTTTGTCCTGGAGCTTAAGCCTTACCTTCATTTGCTTACTCAGAGCCTTCAGCTGCCTCTCTGTATCTTGTTTTTGCTCTTCCAGCTTCATTGCTTTACCTGGGAACAGTAAAAAGGGAAAAGAGTATTAAACACATAAGGGGAACAGTGAAAGTGAAAATGGGAGAGCAGAGCAGTTGATTTTGCTTCTAGTAATGCCACTAAATAGACTAAACTGAGATTAAGATACTTTGTCAACAGATCAGGAGTGGAATCAACACTAGATTTGTTACTCAAAACATCTCTGAAATAATTGGGTTTTTTCAGGTATTAAACCAGACTCTGAAATTTAGAGAATCCCACGTGGATTCACTTACTCAGCACACACATATCCCCAAGCACTTGAGGGAACACTAAAACATGGAACGGGCCACTCGTTCCACCAGGTGGCAGCTCCTCGTCCACAACAGGACAGCAACCTCGACTTTACTGCTCTTCCCTGCGTTTTTCCCTAAAGCTCTTGAAAAGGCCAGTAATTCCAATTTCTAGAATGGGCAATACTTCCTTCACCGAAGAATGAGGCTTAGAGACTGTCTCTAATATTATATCTACAGCACTAACTGTTAAAATAGTACTTTTCTGCACGAACAGAAGGGAACAGCCAAAATTGGAATACTTGTAAAGGACATGCTTCCTCCTCCCTGTTGCAGCCATAACTCAGCCCCCCGACTGAGTTAATTTAAATCCTTTTTTTGAGCTCCACCTACTTTCTAAGTCACTGATGAGCTGGTTATTGTGAAGTTTTATAGCACGGTGTTGTTCCACCTGGTCTTCCAACTCGAAGATGGTCTCCTTCAGGTTTTTTATATCTGCTTCATTCTCTGATGTTTTCTCCTGCAGCTTCTGGCTGGTTCTGCTCAGTTGCTCAGCCTGCTGGTCACACACCTCCTTCAGCTGACCACACTCACTCTCAGCCTGGAAGGGAGGAAAGAAAGTTGCAATCTATCTTTATTCCTTCAGAGATATCACTCATTAGAGGCTTTAGTGGGCATCTTGTGGACTTGAGAACTGAACCTGAGTTCTAAGCACTGTGTGCATGGAACAGCCTCAGGAAGCACAGACGAGCTATGAATGTCAGTCTTCTCTCCTGGCAATGTAGATGATAAAGGGAGATGCTGCAAAGGAAATTAAATTTTCTGTATGATGACCGTAATTCCAAACCAATCCCTGTACTCAACGAACAGAGAGGAATTATATTCCCGGAAAGTTCCACGGCTATTTATGTATCACATTAAGAAAGTGATATCACTGCCTCAGGGCCAAGATGACGATCAGTTCATCCACATCAACAATTTGCTGCGTTCACCATGTGCATTTTCAATGGACTGTGAAAACGTCCACAGCAGAGCCAGCTACTGCAGATAAGCATATTTCTGGATATAGGACATCTGGAATTACTGAAGGGGGAATCTGCTGCACTTCAGTTTGTTGGCTCAGGCCCACGGATCAATGCTTCCAGGTTTGGGGGGAGCTCTCTGAGTATGAAAAAGGTGCAGGCTGCCAATTCAGTGAGCAGCACTGGCACAGCCTGAGTGAAGGGCAGCCTTACAGAAGCCTGTGGTCTTGCCTGGGTGTCACAAGTAGCCAATGATTCAAAACAGCTTAATTCGAGGGAAAGGAAGAGTAAAAAGGAGGAAATCTGTGGTTTCCAAACCAAGCAATAAAAGTTTGGTCCAGAGTCTGAGCACTCAGCAGTTTTTCATTTATTCTTCATGAGCTGCAGCTCCAGAAAGCACTTGGGAGCTTCCTCTACTAACTCCATTTGCTGTGGTCACCTACTTAAGCTGAAAGGACATCTGGATTTTCTAAATCACTCCCATCATGGAGGTGCTTTTTGGCAATGCTCTCTCCCTCTGCAGCCAATTTTATCATTCTTCTCATGATCCCTTCCCCATACAGGAAGGACTGCACACACTATCACTCTTTCTGCAGCAGTGGGACACAATCACTGGCTTGTGCTTTATTAACACTTGTTGTTTGATGCCTCACATTGCAGCTCCCTTCTGAACATCCGGGATCACAGAGAAAATAGGGACAATAACCGGGGTCAGTTTGTTTGGAGCAAAGCCACAAACTACTAATGAGGTAGAGGAAAATTGTCCTAAAATCAATCTTTTTACATTTTTTTTTGCCATTATTTTACCTATCCCAAAACCAGAGTATTTCTCAGGTTTGTAAAAGTATTTTAGCTTTATGAAAATAATCTCATCTGGAGCTTGATGCTGCAAAATTAGTCATATTGCTGTAACTATCAGCTTCTCTGAGCATTAACTCAGAAGTTAATTAACTCAGATCCTTGTGTTCTCATGATCAATGACACCTACAGCTCACTGCTAATTAATTATGATTAATTATTCAGAATTTAATATTCACTGCTAACTACTCATGCCCTTCATCTGATTAGCAAGTGATTTACACTAACATTTGTTCACATCATATCAAAGTAAATTTTTATTGACCTGTTCTTTGCTCCAGTTTTGATAAACACAACTCTACTTATTAAAAGAGTAAATTCTGCAGAAGATGTTAGGACAGAATAGGTTTGAATTCATAAATACAGCTACGTTAACAGTTACTCCTGGGAAAATATGCACATATCAGCAGCAACTGAGACAACACCACACGATCCCAGCTTCCATTCAAAACTAATTCACGTAATTTAAATCCTGGGAGTTTATAATCCACGGCTCGACAGCAATCTGAAGACCAGTAACTACCTATTTACAGAAGGACAGAAACAATCATTCTGTTTTACAGCTGTTACTGCTTTACCTTAGACAGCAGCCCCTGAATGTGCTTTAGTTCACTGTTTGCCTTCAGCAGCTCTTGTTTCAGCTCAGTGCAAGAGGTTTCTAGCTGAGCCTTTTCTGCGTGGGCTACTTTGAGCATCTCCTGCACCTCTGAGTTGTCAGGGGCACGGCCCATCACGTTGATTTCTGCAGCCTTTTGTTTCTCATTCTCCAGCTGGGTTTTGAGAGAGCCATTCTCGATTTTCAGACCTTCCAAGGCAATTTTACAGTCCTCCAGGCTTTTTGTCACTGTGCTGTTGCTCTGCTGTTCCACCTCTAGAAGTTTAAGCAGCTTCTCGTTTTCTTCTCTCAGGCTTTTAATCACCTGCTGGGCATCCTGATGTTCCCTCTCCAGGCTTCGCAGGCTGCTGGTTAACTGCTGCTGAATGTTGAGCAATTTCTCTCTTTCAAACTGTGCTTTTTCAAGAACTTCTGCACATTTCTGTTCCAGTTCGAGCACCTTCCCCTCCTGAGCTCTGCTTTCTTCACTCTTGGATCGCTCTTGGAGGAGAGTCATCAGCTTCTCGTTCTCCTGGCTCAGCTGTTCTGCTCTATCTCTGTGCTGACGGAAGGAGGTCTCCAGGAGAGCTTTCTCTTCCACCAACTTCTCGTTTTCTGTTGTCAGCTCCTGCACCATTTGCTGTTGATCTGACAGCTCCTGCAAAGTGGCTTGTAATTCCTCTGCTGTGCTGTGGTGATTCTCCTCCATTTTTTGTATTCTCTCTGTGAGAGAGGCAACAGAGAGGTCGCTAATGTTGTTCGGAGAACTTCCTGCAGTGGAGCATTTGGAACCTTTGAAGTGGTTGCTGTTGGCAGACGTTGGTCTGGAAGGCACATCTGCTATGTGCTCAAAATCAGACGCATCAGGGGACAGGGAAGCTTTAGTGACATCGCTGCTGGAGGAACCGGAATTGCGCAGGGCACCCCCGTTCACGTGCGGCCTGTGCTCCTCCACTTCGCCTCTCGAGGCGTTTTTGGATGGGCTTCCAAAACTGGACTCCTGGGTAGTCGGGGTTGGGAGGCTGCTGTCACCTCCACTGCTCGTGGTTGTGTCTGACAGAGGGGAGTTCTCCAGATAAAGCAGTTTCTCTTTCAAGACACGGTTTTCTTCTCCCAGGCTGGCAAGCTCTTTTTGGAAAGTCCTGTTTTTCTCCTGCAGGGACCGTATCAACGGATCTATGTCAACAGGTGATACCGTTTCTAAATTTTGGCTGCAAGCACCCATTCTTTCAGCATTAAGGGACCCTTTCTCTTTGCATTTCTTCAACTCACAGCGAAGTTTGGTAATTTCAGAATCTTTTGTCTTCGCCTCTGCCAGGAGCTCTTTAACCTGAGATTCCAGAACAGCCTTGTCACCGGTTTCATTCTCTTGCTTGGACTTGCTGGTGGGGCGCACGTGTTTGGTAGGAGTTGGTGCACCAGAAGAGGTGGGGCTGGGTTGTGTTTTCCTGGCATTGGTTTGACCACGCAGCACAGCCCTCTCCCTGGACACAGAGGAGGAGATTTCCCGGGGTGCTGGGATCCCTGTGCGCTTCGCAGCCGAAACTGCACCTTGAAGAACAAGAGATGAAGCAAAATTGAGTTGGTGCATAAAGGAAACAAGTCACACAGCAGCAATGCTAAAGCCTAGAGCAGTCCTGGAAAAAAAAAACAACACCTGAGTGGTTGAATAGGTTTAGTCATGACTGTGGGGATTCACGTTTCAAAGGCTCCCATTATTCTGCATTTCTTCCTTTCCTGCCCCCTGCAAAGGAACACAGCCTGCTCAACTTTGTCCCAGTGTAATAATGGAATAACATAGATGCTGCAATCCATGAACTACACTCCCCAATATCAGGATATTAATTACTTGATAGTAAAGATTCTTTACAGTACTTTGTGAAATGCTTAATCTAATCCCACTAAAAATTCAGTGGAAAAATTCAGTAATTTAAGGAAAGGTCTTCTATTTGAAAACAAAAGTATTTTTATCACACATAAAACTATCTGCATTTAGGCAGATCATAATACAAAACAGGGTTGAAACATTTATGCTGACCACAGGCTCAGTGAAATATAAAACCCTCTATGGCACTTCCAACACTAAGACAACTGTGATGCTGCAGCTTCTTACAGAGATGGAAGAGATATTTTTCATGTCATACATTCCCATCCTCTTACAGAGGAAGAGCAAAAGGAGGTTAGAGGGCTGACACTGTTCTGTTTAGCTGTTTGTTGGGGTTCTCCTTCCCACCGACCAACAATGCAAAGCACTATGTGATTACACGGGAAGTGAAGTTCATGAGTTGCCGATCTTCATCTTTCAAAGCTCTCCTGAAATGTGGGACCAGGGGCACTGAAGAAATAGGAGCCATCTGAGCCACGGGTGTTGTAACAAGCTGGTTAAAGAAAAGAAGCTGGTTCAAAGGGAAGGTATTACATGCCACTGCAAGTGGCAACACTGTGAATTTAAGAAAATCCTGCTTTCAGGACCTTATCCAAAAGGCAAAGCCCTAAAGTACAGGGCCATAAAGTTTGGGGATATGGTACAGTGAAGAGATGTTGTCCAATGTAGCCACACAAACAGGATGCAAGGGAGAGTTCTGCAAACAGAAGGGGTTAGGGAGCCAGTGTTTGCAATAACAATAAGTTCAGAAAGACTCTGAGGGGGAAATCCTAGAATCAATTCCATCCCTCCAGATTTGGGAGGGTCTTTGCCTGGTGCCCATGTGCACCATCCACAGAAAATCAAAGGGCATTACAACCAGAGGGGGAGCAGCCTCCCTGCCTTCCACAGCACCTTCACAACCCTCCCACAGCATTCTCCTCGCTGCAGCGATGCAGGGCACGGAAGGGTTAATATTAACACCACCCCGTTTGCTCAGCATCTCTTTTGAAGAATGCATTGGGTTTATAAAGCCCACACAAACAGGAGCCCCTCCTCCTCCCTCCCAAACACACACACTCTGCAGCAGCACAATAAACACCCGGAGACAAAGAGCAGCTGAAGAAAAGCCCCCTGAACCCAGCGCAGCGCTGGCAGGAGAGCACAGAGAGGCTCTGTCAGGGCAGGGGCACGATAAGGCCAGAGACAAAGGCTCCAGTGTTTAGGGAAGAGATACAGGGACAGCCAGCGGCCCACACAGCTTCATTTACTCATCTACAGCTGGAGGGGCCGGCTCAGCTCCGGGAGGGGAGTTCTGCAGCTCCAGTGGCTGCTGGGGCAACTCCAGATCTTGTCAGAGCTGGAGGCCACCCCCCCAGCTCACCACTCATCCCATTCCCAAACCCCACTGCCAGGATCTGGCACCGGCAAAATGTATTCAAACCGAGCTAAGCACACAGCAAGGCTCGTGGTGTTGGTGCAGCAAACGCTGCAAGATGAAGGACAAGGGGAAAACTGAAAGTACCCCAATGTGAGGTGTCGCTTCCAGTGGAGAAATCCCAGCTCAGCAGAGCTCCTTCCCACTGACAGGCTCAGGGGAGCCCCAGGAGTCAGAGCATCTGAGTGCACCTTGACCACAGGCTTGGACGAGTGTCCAGGGTAGAGCACCAGCGCTCACACAAGCTGTGGTCATACTACAGATTTAATATGGAAAATACACGTTACAAATGGCCACAGATGTTCTCTGATGAAGCCTAAGGGGTGATTTAAAGCATTCTGGATGTGTCCTGTACTTCTATTCAATCTGAGAGGGTTTTCTACCGTTATTAAAAAAAAAATAAAATGAAGACAAAACAAGTGCTTCAAAGAACTCTTCTTTTTTCAATGCTCAAACCAGCGCAATAACATGACTCTCATCTGGCCAGCACATGACTGACTAGCATTATATAAGAATGGACAGTGCTGACTGGGCAGCATCCTATACAATACAAGAAATAATGATGCTATTACACACCAGTGAGAGTTTCATGGCACTGGGAAAAACACTTTTTCCTAAGAGAAATGAAGCACTTCTGGTAGCCACACCAGCGTGCTTCTAATCACCACCAGATGACAACTGCAACATGATCCTGGGCAATGGAAAACCTATACACAGGGATAACAATTAATGATATTTAGCCGGGATTATCTGTACTTTACCAGTTTGCCAACCAGCTCTGAGCTTACTCAACGTGTCTCGTGTGTTTTGCAAGACTCCACGCTCTGCTGACTTGTTCTGTCATAAATCACAAAGCATTTGCTATCCATCAATAACCATTAACCAACCTGTTTTTTTCATGCCATAGAAGGGCTTAGGTATTTTCCTCACTCCACTCTCCACAAGTGCCATGCAACGCTAAAAAGTCACAAGGATCCCGGAAAAGAAATAGTTCTAAATGCATGTGTTGATCACAAAACACCAAATTAGGGATAAACACCACTTTAATGTCTATTTTATGGGCAACTCCCGCTCTGACCGACCTTGGAGTTGAGCAGTGCAGTAGTTAGCAATGAAGCTGCCAATCCCACAGCCCGGGGCATCCATATGCAGAAACTGCATTTAGGGCTGTGTCAGTCACCCTGGTGACCCCATTAACTCGGCCCCCACCCCGGTGATGGTCTGTGGGAGACCCCAGACAGACATACCAGTGCCTACCAGGCTGCAGAGCTCAACACAGCCTTGATTTATGCTGCTGCTGCTGCTTGAAGTGGCTGGAATCACACAGAACTTCACTGCCTGGAAAGAGCTGCTGGTTTTGAGCAGAGAAGAGAAAAACAAGGAGCCCTGCATCTTGATGGAGACATTCCAGAAAGAAAAAAAAAAACACCAACAACCAAACCATTGAATACCTTTCTGTCTGGTCAAAATGGTGCTTTGGCACCTCATTCCTGTTTATGCTGTTCATCCACCCTGCCCAAGCTTTTTGCTTAACTCTGTTCTTGCCAACTTTGAGCACAACCTCTGTCCCACTGTTCCAGGTATCCAAGCTCAGGCTACCTCCAACCACCAGTGTATTTCTCATTCCCTCTGCACCACACCAAGCCTCCCATGCTCCCAGTCCCACCACCACTCTGCTGATGGGCTCAGCTTGTGCCCCCCCACTTCAGAGGAACGGGGAAGTACTCCTGAATTACTCCATGGAGAGTTATTGCCTGAAAAGCTGTTTTGTTCAGGCTGAGGTCACCTCCTCACCACGTTCCTCACCTTGGCACCCAGGAAGAACTGCTCCATTTTCAGCATCAGCCAGACTACTCAGATGTGAGGCGTTACAGTGCAACACGTACATACAGCTTGTAATTTTCCAAGTGCTTTAAAATTAACAGATATTTAACCCAAATCCTCTGAAACACATACATAAGTTTAGGTTACGGGACAGGGAAGCAGAGAGAAGTGAAATGCCTCACCCAAGGTCATGGGAAGGCAGGATTAGGGTTGGGAGCCCATGGCCACTTGCTGCCAGGGAGCACTGCCTGACTTTCCACCGGTGTCAAAAGCCAGAGTATTACTTTAATGAGATAAAAGTTGAGCCCTCCTGCCGACCTTTCACCATTTTAATCCCATTTTCAGCACAGCTACAAATGTTTTTCACAGAAGGAAGGATTGGGATTACTCCTCAGTTTTTCCACATTATGATCTATTTTTGTGCTGAGCTCTCCCCGCACCTCCCGGGTCAGCTCCCCCAGGAACATCCCCAACCAGGAGAAACGGACTCTGGAATGGAGGAAAACACTTCCCAGTCCTCCAAGGTGGAACAAACGGGATTGTTGCTCAGTAACATCCATGCAGTACAGCCAGTGTACTTACAGTGAGAGCAGGAGACAAATGTTTCACCAGTCACAGGGGGGACATGGTGGAATGAGGATTCAGTGTTTATCTGCCTTTGCATCCCATGGACTCTGACAGCACATACCACTGCAGTACAACACCAGCCCTGAAGGTGATATAATTAAGAGTCAAGTAAACTAAATAGTTCAAAAGTACCTGCTTCTCCAGGCCCAGAGCAGAGGAGTAATAATCTCAGCTGGAAGACTACATTTGACTGCAGAAACACCTTAGAAAATGTTCTGATTTCTACTTCCAATCTGGTTTATTTTAGAACTGGAGTCAATACAAAATTATTTGCCTCTGGCCTTTGTGCCATTTGCGTCCCACAGCCTGCCCTTTCCTTAATCCTTCCTTCCATCAACATATTAATAACCCAAAGGTTAATGCCATGGGCTTCTGCTGTTCCACAGACCGAATTAACAGGGAATGTTCCCTTTTAAATGTTCTTCCTCAATTTTAATCCTGTCAACTCCTAAGCAAAGAACAATAAAAACACATGTTTTTCCTCAGAGTGTTCAAAATTCCAGGTTATTAATTCACTGTTCCATAGTTTAGGTACTAACCCTCCTGTGTGTAGAGCCCATCTATGTAATTTTAGCACTGACCACCGAGCCATCTCAGAAAGCATTTCAGTCATGTAAGACTAAAGCATGGAGACAGATGCAGCTTCGGTGTGATGTTTTTCAACAATAGATACCTTAATTTGAATTGTAAGGGCAGGATAACAAGAAATAAAAGAAAGCTATTCACAGCACTCTGCGATGTTCAAGTCATACATCTCAGAAAGGCAAACTGTTGCCTGCAGACAAGTTTGTCCTCTCC